ATGCCGGCCACAGAGACTGGTGAAACGTCAGGAAGAACAACCTTCAGAACACGGCCAAAGAGCCCGAAAAACCCACAACCACCATTATGACAGAGTGTTTGCTCTGAATTCTCATGCCAAGATGTGAGGCATTCACAGCTTCCACCATACAGTACTTCTGCTTGTCTTATGACTTACAGCCTTGCACTTGCTGTGTGGTACACCTGGAGCCCTGTTCATGTCAGAAGATGAGTCAGTGGGAGAAATCACAGCTGCTCCATTGGCTGATGCAATGAGGCATAGGGATTTGAAATGTTGCAGGTGCTTAGTTGGCAGCTCTGGCCTCTTGAGCAGCTGAAGGAAGAGAAGAATTATGGGCACCTAAGATTCATATTTCTAATCAACCAGAAGAACTGTGAGTTAAAACCAGAGGAATTTTCCAGTGCAGTTGCACACTGACAGCCATTACAATAATCATTCCAAAGAGGTGAAAGGGGTTGTCTGTTTGGTAAGATTCAAGAAATCAAAGGGGAATTTAAATCAAAATAAGGGATGTTGAACAATGTGATGTGGAAATATGTTCCATGTGCAGAAAAAAACATAAAGAGAAATGGAAACAATATGTAGAAGCATTTGGTGATTTGGGACTAGAGTCTATTTCTGGACTACAAATCCCAAAACTCCCAGATTGAGAGTTTTTGGGATTAGAAGTCAGAACTCCATTGCCCTCCTTTTGGTCACAACTTTTTGCCAGTTCAGATAGCATTTTGCGATCCCTGGAATATATTCCCCAAATTTCTTCCTTTCATCTTGGAACACCTCAAGCCAAACAATTTGCAATCAGGAATCTTCTACATTAACCTACACATGCATTTTAAATGGGGGAAAAGTTTGTAATCATAGTAGTTTCAACTTTAAAAATAGCAATGCAATGGTAACAAATATAGTTCCCATTCCTTCAAGCTGTTTCCTTTTTTTAAAACAATGACTACTTCATCCTGGGATCTTTGGGCTACTATTGCAAAATAGTTCCATACCACTATGTTTCTTGCTTCCTTCTTTTTGCTATTAATACTTTTATAAAAAAAATTTAAAAGTATTTTACAAACACAGTTCCCCCCCCCCCCAAAAAAAAGACATGCTAGGATAGAGAAGAGGAGAAGATTCATGATCAGGTGATAACTGAGACAGGACAGAGGCAAAGCAATGGAGGCGCTCTGCTACCACTGCTTTCTTGGTTCTAGATATACATTTCAGGTCATATGGATCAGTTAATGTCTAGGAAGGTATCTTTTATAGATACATCTCTTCAAATCTCTTCCAGATGGAAGGGTTGTCTATTCCTTCAAATATCCTTAACTCTTTAGCTGCCAGAGTCTTCAATCACTTAGCCAGTGTGAGGGCATGTTTCAACACTCTGCTTTTCCCCCTTTAATAGAAGGAATCCTCTCTTTTATTTATGCATGCAGACAGTCAAAGCCTGCTTCCAGTAAAAATCCAGGCGTTGGATTTAGAACAGTCCCTGCTGCATTTTTGCTTGAGTACGTTTTAGTTAAAAATGCTGCGGAGCCAAATACCACCCGCCAAGAGCATCTGGTTGTCTTGCCAGCCATATTTTTATTTTATTTTTTTGAAAAGCATGCAATTGAAAGAGACAGACGAGTGTTGTCCATTTCTCATTCCAGGGGTGGGTGTGGAAACCAAGTCTTTTCTTCCGTGGCTTGCTGCTCTCCTCTGCTGAGCAAGCTCAGAGGGTGTCAGGATTTAAAAAATGGTCTTCTGCTGGTCAGGCTGCAGAAAATTGGGAAAGAGAGGGTGAGATACTGTAGTGGGTTTGATGGCAGGGAAAGGTAGTATGGTATTGTTTTACTTTTTGGTCTAAAGAAAAGTTCCAGTCCCTACTGAGATCTGGCTTTCCCACGGACAAAGTCACTATATTTGCCAATGCAGACTGAGGCAGCCAACTGCCTTTTGTCTCCACATATTTATTAAACAATTCATCAGAACTATAAGAACAGATTCTTCTTACTCCACCAACCTGCGTCCTCCTTTCCCATCAAAATAAGTAGAGTTACCCTGGAATAGGAAGAATCTTCAGCCATTAGCAATGGCAGCCTTTTGCATGTCATGATGGAATATCCTAATTCATTTTTACTTCTCTTTTACCTGCTTCAGGACAATTTCCAAAAGAGTGGGGGAAAAAACCTTTGGTTTAACCAGAAGAAGAAGAAGAAGAAGTCATAGTTGAATCTGTACCCTGAAAAGTAAGGAAATTCAGCTGACAGAGCAAGTTTGCCCACACTCAAAGCTTGTTCATATTGGTTGGAATCCAATAGTAAGTCACAACTAGAGTAGGCCCACTAAATCAATGGAACCAAATCCCCAATGATCCAATGGGCCTACTCTAGTTGCAACTTACTACTCCATTTCAGCCATTGATGCACCCTTCTTAAAACATCCACCCCAAGTAAATACAAAAAGTTTCAGAAAAGTAGCCATATGAGTCTGTTTCAGCAGCAATGACAACAAAACTAAACCAAAAATATTGTGCCTCTTCTGAGACTAATACATTCATTTAGAGCAGAGGTCCCCACCCCCCGGTCCGCACCCCAGTGCCGGTCCGTGTGTTGAGCTGGATCGGGCTGCCGAGACAGATCTCCCACCCCACCCCCTCATGCACTCACCCCCACGCAGCCCATTTGCACCTGTGCATGCGCTCCAGCATGCCTGTGCAAGCACCACACGTCATGTGCACCACACCACCATTTGCGCATACACATGCACTCATGCGCATGTGCAAACAGTGGCACAGCACTCATGCAGGTGCGCTCGTGCAAGAGAGCCTGCGTGCTTGTTCATGCATGCACACGAGCATGGGGGGGTGCCATGCCTTCCCCAGCTGGTCCACGGACTGAAAAAGTTTGGGGACTGCTGATTTAGAGTGAGCTTTCATGGACTGAAATGCATCTGAAAAAGCAGACTGCAATCCATGAAAACTTGAAATAAATTTGTTAGTCTCAAGGTAGTCACTAAGTTTTTTGAGGGGGGGATTGTTTTTGTTGCTATTAATTTGAGTGCCACTTTTTGATTCCCTAGATTAAAAAAAAGACTTCTTGCTTAGAACTAAACTTCCTAACCATAAGACATCCTTCCCTCAAATACAGATCAAGTGAACTAAATATAGACTAATTAAAATTTTGTAACCTTGAATAGGTATGCCTGCAAATCTGCTTTTTGCAGATGTCAAAGCCTGTGTTTAATCTTGGTGTTTCTGTCTCATTATTGACGTAGCATATATTGCAATGATATACCTGGTAGACAGGTAGGATGACTAGTGGAATAATGCTCTGATGTTCCTTTGGGATAGAAGTCACTGTACCAGACCAGCACATCAATTAACCCTTCTTTTTAATGGGTAGTTTGATCTGTGGTCTGAATTTCCTTACTTTGTGGGGGTGGGGAGTGCAGCTTTAACAATAACATCTTGCTTTAGACCAAAGAAGATGCTTCCTCTCTTTTAGGGCTGTCCATGCTTTTTAAAACAAAGGAGAAACAACATTTTCAATGGGAAACCAAAGTCTGTTTTTAACAACATACGGTCAGAGATTTTTTTTTAAGTCAACTTATAAAAAATGTTTTCCTAGCCAACTAGATCTCTTTTCAAAATACACACACATGTATACACAGAAGAGCTAGTTGCCACTTAAGCCTTTCTTTTGGAGAGACTACAGTTCCTCTGCTCAGCTCAAGAATTTCCCCAGGAAACTGATTTAAGTATCAGACATATCCCACATCTCAGCAGGAAGGCAAATCAGAATTTTTACCCCATAATCAATAGAACTCTAAAATATTACCTTGGGAAAAAGTCACACATAAAATGTCAATAGGATTGATAGGCAGAACTGCAGCATCCTTGTAATGGCCAGAATAAAAAGATGTTGAAAAGTAAAGAAAAAGAAGCAAAATGTATTTCCAGGAGGGAGATACCATGGGAACCTCTCATCAACCATAGCTGAACAATGGCTAGAACCACTGCATAATTGTTTGCTTTTCAGCAAGACTGCAGCACCACCACAGTAGACTGCTTAGCCACATAGTATGTAGAGTTAAGCTTATTAATGTTCAAGACTGAGCTGCAAAGTCCCAATTCAATGGGAGAGTTAAGCACATGCTTAAGAAGGCAATGCCATCAATACTTACACAGGAAAAAAAGGCCCACTAAGTCACTGGGACTTACTTCTAATTAAAAAGGAGGAGAATCACACCGCCCATTTACCAACTGGAAGAAAATTCAAAGATCTTAACTTTGCCTCAATCTTTTTATAATGGTAGTCATGTGTGATGTATGTGATTGTGGTTAAAACAGACTTCTATTTAATCACACCCCCCCCAAAGTACCTGACAACTGTCTCATACTGCTGAGTCCTAAGGGAACGTAAGCACTTGGGCAAAGCATAAGCAATATTTTAAGCCATCTGATTCAGCCCTGTTGCTATTGTTTAAAATAAAAATCTCTTTCTGTGCTAAACAGCTTTAATGAAATGTTTATAGAACTATAGTATACAGAAATGGTGTCACGAGGGGTCAAGCTAGACAAAGTCTCCTCTAGAATCATAATTTAATGTGATCCTAAAATGTAATTTTATTAGAGATACACTTTTCTCATAGATGGTCAGGGGAAAGTACAATCCATCTTCCAAATGTACCCCATGCTTATCTTCCATAAACTAACCACAGAACAAAGCAGGTTCGAAATGGAATACATAAAAGTCAACAAGCTTGAGGGGGGGCATAACTTTTAAATACCAGTTCAGTGTCTTCTCTAGTTTGACCCTAGATTTAGCACACCTTCTTGGGTGTAATTGTGAAACATCCAGCAGTGATGGGTTTAAATCGGGTTGTCAGAGAAATTCAGAAGTTTTGACATTTTAATAATAAAAGATATTTATTTGCCTCCAACCTAGAAAAATTATCTTTTCTTTTTGAAATCCTGTATCCACCTCCCCCAGCCCAAAAACTAAGGCTGCTTCCAGCTGAAAGCATTATATCATTTAATCACTCTAGCCTTGTTGAAAGGACTTTCACAGTAGCTGCATGGCATTGTGGTTAAACTGCAGTACTGCCGTGAAGTCTCTGCTCATGACTGGAGTACAATCCCCAGGCTCAGGTAGCTGGGTCAAGGTTGACTCAACTGCCCAGAGTAGACATGTTCTAGATGGGTGGTATAGTAGTTTAATAAATAAATAAATAAATA